CGCCGCTTGGCTGGCTTCCTCCCTCCTTCTCTTCTTCTCCCTCATCATTCGCAGCTTCCACTCCAACTTTTTTTCTTCTTTGGTTGTCTGACGTTCCAGGGGGTCCTCCATCATTTCCAATACCCTGGCGAATGCTTCTCTCTCCTCCTGCGGCACATACAATTGTGCCTCTTCGTCTTCCCCCAACGATAAATTGGCCACCCACTCGCTAATTTCTTCTCCATCCAGGCGTCCTCTCCCTTTGTGCCACTGGTCTCTCCTCTGTCTCCCCCACGCCTTTTTTCAAGGGGTTCTTTTTCCACTTCCTCCTCTTCTCCGACTTCCTCTTCAGCAACCTTCCTCTTTTCTTCCTCCTCTTGCTGTAGTATCATCATCTTCTCCTTCTGTAATCTTATCATCTCTTCTTCTTATTCTCTCTTCTTCGTCGCCTGCTCCTTTGCAATTGCTTTTAGCTTCGCCTGCTTGAGGAACTCTTTCTTCTATTTTCTCTCTTTCAATATGGCAGCGATCCGAGCCTGTTCGGCCTCAGATTGGGGGGCAGTACTCTTCCCAGTACGTGTCTCAACCATGGTGCTAGGTGCACAACCGGTCAGCGGTTCCACTCCTCACCACTTAAACTCTACTCCCCCTGACTGACAAACCTACTGACTTGATCTAAGAACTTACATAATCCGGACAGGATCCTGTCAACTAGGGTCTCTAGCCCAGACCTACTCTAAGGCTGTCACTACAAGGCCTGTTGCTGATCAAGAGGCATTTAAGGAGATCCCTCATAACTCCTCAGGAATTATTTAACGTTGCAGACAGGACGACACAATCAGCAGGTCCTCTCAAGACTTAGACGGCCTGTTGTGCAACCCACARCTCGGATTTTGGGCCTACCGYGCCACACCGAGCAGCCCGCCGGTCAGTACCGGTCCTTGGGAGGGTTTGTGTCCTCCGGGACAGTCGAGTCGTCAGACATAGTTTTTAGCCCTACTCAGCWGAGTTCCTAACACTTGGACAGAAGAGACTCAATGCAGAAAGAAKAGACAAACWGACTTGACTCARCACAGGATGTGTGCACATCCATAGGGTGAGGGGATAGGCTGAGGGCTTGGCGAGATTATACCGGCTCCAGCCTGGTCAAATTCATGGTCAACAGTCTTGGTCAACGCCTTCGTCAACGCCTTGGTCAACTCCCGGTCAATGCTACAGTCAGACCCCGGTCAACTCTCGGTCAACGTCTGTCAACCCCGGTCAACACCCAATCAATGCCTGGTCAACGCCCGGTCAACTCTCCCGATCAACGCCCGGTCAGCTATGGTGGCCGACTTCTTCTTCCTCACCACCCTTCTCCTTCCTTTCTCCTTCCTCGCCTCCTTTCTCTTCACCCCGACTGTCTTCTTTCTCTTTTTTTTTTCTTTTTTTTTTTTTGTTCCTATCCTTTCTCCTCCTCGGCTATGGCTTCCTTCACCGTCCTTGGTCTCCTCCTCTGTCCTCTTTTTCACCCTCTTCGTTACTCTGTGGTCGAGCTCCACGGCTATGGCCGCCTCTCACTTCGTGGGATTGCACGGCACACTTCACAAGTACGTGACAACCAAACTTGTATCACTCTCTCTCTCTCTCTCTCTCTCTCTCTCTCTCTCTCTCTCTCTCTCTCTCTCTCTCTCTCTCTCTCNTCTCTCTCTCTCTCTCTCTCTCTCTCTCTCTCTCTCTCTCTCTCTCTCTCTCTCTCTCTCTCTCTCTCTCTCTCCGTAGCGATGTCTTCAACGCAGGTACGTAGTAAGCCAATCTTGTATCGCTCAACCTTTCTCTCTCCCTCTCTCTCTCCCTCTCTCTCTCCTCTTCGTCGTGGTCTTCTTTGCAGGTGCGCGCGACGGCTTCTTCAACCTCCGGGTCCACTATGGCGGACTTCCTCTCCGATGGCAACCTCCACTGTGGCGCGTAACTCTCCCTGTGACACACGACGACGCGTACCAGCTCTGATACCAATGCAATCACACTTGCTCTCATTCACACTTCTCATGCATGCAAACAGGTGTGCAGCAAGCTGGCAACGAGCGCTCACTCACAACACGGAGATATGGCAAACAACAACACAGTTCAAATACAACTCGCTTCAGATGGCTATGGTGACACAACGCCCACACAACTCTCTGTTCGCACACACAGGATGACGCATGTCCAGTGGGACAATGTGCAGGGACCCAAGGATYCGCTATGTGATGAAAAGGACTTGAATGGACAATGCGAGGTTAGCGTAGCATCAACAAGCAATGTACATTCCGAATACATACAAGATGGCACAAAATGGCACAGTGAAAGACTTAAAGAGAAGATCTGATCTGATCTGGACTGACCCGACATCCATCACACATCACACATAAGAGAGAGGGAGAAGGGACCGCAATCATGGAAGAAAGGTCACTTCCTCACACATATACATGGGGAGATACCACAGACGAGACGGGGGAGGGACGAGACGAGGAGGAAGGAGGCGAGGGAGTAGACCAAGATCACAATGAAGTCCCAAAAAATAGTCCCTTGCCAAGTGTCCAATCAATGTCTGTCCCAGAAATGTCGAATCAGATCCTGGGCAATGCGCCCTGTATAACCTCTGCCTGAATCCCTACTGATAACCTCTCACACTCTCAGATTCGAAGAAGAAGATGAGATAGAGGAGGAAGGAGGGAGAAGAGAGAGAGAGAGAGAGAGAGAGAGAGAGAGAGAGAGAGAGAGAGATGGAGGAGGGAGAGAGGAGATGAAGTTCTCCTCGCTATCTCACCTGCAGGTCGCTGCCACCGTACTGACTCTGTCCGTCGCCGTGTGCAGGTACCGCGTGGAGCCCATCTATGGCGCCAGGTAAGCTCGCCGACTGCAGGTATGGCCTCCGCCACTCCCTATCTCCTCTTAGTCTCCTCTTAGTCTCCTCTTAGTCTCTCCTCCCTACTCCGCAGCCTAGCGCGGTATAGCGCTCTCCTAACCAGCAGCGTGTTGCCCAGAAGTGAGCTACCCGAACTGTGCTCTGCCCAGCCGTGGCCCAGCTATTTGTAGTGCTGGGCGGCTGGGCCTACCTAGTGCTGTGTGGCCTAGAACGGCCCAGCGGGTCTGGGTCCCTACCGGACGTCCAGACCCTCCTGTTGATGCAGCATGGCGCAGAAATGYGCGTGGCCTAAGAACGGCCTYGTACCGGTGCACYTGGTCCAAGGTGTYGTCYTGGGTCCTGCAGGACCGAAACGACGCCTGTTCCTACCGGTTTGGCCCCAAAAGGCGCCTGGCCTCGTTTCGGGCCTGCCTCTGGTGTACCTGGTCCCGACTTCCAAGGTCTGGCTGTGGGGCTGCAAGTCCGAAACGGCACCTGAACAGACAAAAATAAGACAGCACACACCCACAAAAAGGTAAGTAAAACGAAACCTATCTACCTAGTGTGCTACCTAGGSCCTGGAGGGCYGCCGTCGGCCTCCAGGGYGCGTGCTGGATAGAACRCGGCCTKGGGGCCCCTCAACAACCGTCGGGCCCCATTTGAGGGGCCCGTGTGCAGGCTCAGCATGCAACACCCCCCCCTCCTTATGAAGTCAAGCCGGTCGGGGGCGAAGCTGACGATCTGACGGCGGTACTTGGACGCGTGTGCGTCATGGAGCCGAAGATGCCAACATGCCTTTCAACTTCTGTTCATAGCGTGCGAGAACATCGGGCGCTGTTGCCTGAAGTTCCGCACGAGTCGGCCATCGGTCAGCTCTATGGGTGCAATATGCGAAGTGGACCAAAAATTCAGTCGGCTTGTTGTCGTAACGTCGCTGGGATATGATGTCGCCAACTTCTTGGAAACCGTCCATCGAGGGTGGGTCTTGCGATCGTCGTCGGGGGAAGTCGTCGAGATGAGCGCTGAGTATTGCAAGTTCCTCCTCGCTTATGCGATAAATGCAACCTTTTGGCGGCACAACACCGGCCTCGAGAATGATCTCGTGCGAGATCGGCTGATCCGGCACCACGCCGTTAGGTGACTCGAAGACGTTGGCAAATTCGTCGAGCAACCGCACGACCCGGGAGTCTGAAGACAAGTCTGTGGGTTGAAATTCGGCTACTGCGACGGTTCGAAGAAAACATAAGCCTATCTCTTTGGTCCGCTCGTCGCGCAAGTGGACTGAAAAGATTTGGCTATTACAACTTGGCACCGGATCGAAGGGTGCGGGAGAGGAATAGTACATGGTACTTCGGCGCCAAACGCATCGCGAACCGTAAGTGTCCGCCAAAGAAGTTGATCGTGTGATCCGCACTTGCAAGCCAAGGCATGCCCAGAATGATGTCGAAGTCCGTGTCCAAGACATCAAACGTCACCGGTTCGCATGCATGAGGTGCGAAATAAATCGGGACGGCTTCGATGTAGCGATCAAGGAGTTGTTGCGTTCTTCCGTCCGCCAACTTGATCGACGTAGGGTGTGCCTTCCTTCGAACTGGTGGTCCAAGGCCGGCCCTTTGCATGAAGGACTGGCTAATGAAGTTGCGAGTCGCGCCGCTATCCAGCAAAGCGCTGCAGGATGCTTGCCCGATTTGGATGCGGACATAAAGGAGCGGTGCGTTGTTGTCGTTGTACCGCTGCGTGCGAAAGTCGCGGGCCACCTTGCTCACATACGCAAGAACGCCCCTTACCGCGACTTTGTCCTCCGTCGGCGAAGTTGGTGGTGCATAGAAGGCTAGCTATGTATGGAGATGAGCGCTAAGAGTTGCGCATTGCAGCTCCGGTAAGCAGCCGGTGGAAGGGAGGGGAAGCCATGCAAAATCCTCGGGCGTCAATGGGTCCCAGTCCTCTATGTTGAACGCGCGCGCCAAATCCCGTGAAGGTCCACTTGAAGACGAATCAATGTCGCTGCTTCCGATCAGAGAAGAAACCGCACATACATCCTGTCCTTGGGCTCGTGAATTCAGCAAAGGTACGAGCCGTGCAGCATTGTCCTTGAAGGAATGAAGAATGGGAGGACTTACGACATCCGCATGGGCCTCGAAACCGAGGGAGGTTACCCGCACGGCAACCGGTTCCGTAGGCGTCGAGAGTGCCGTCGCAACACTCTCGGCGGCGCTTACTTTCCCGACTGGGCGGTACCCTTGGCCTTCGTGGGACAGCTCGCTGTCTCATGTGTTGAGCTGTTGCACCACAAACAATAGCGGTACTTGGTGCGGACGCGGTACCCGCGCTCCGTAAGCCCGTACGTTGTCCAAGGTCCTTGCTCTTGAGCTGCTTGCCCGTGCCCAGAAGAAGTAGTGGTGTTCGTCTTCGTCTTGCCGCGCCCTCGTCCTTTGGCAGGGCGGCCACCATTCTGGGCAGCTGCGAGTTTGTCTCCCTCGTCAGACGAAACAGCCTCGTTTAGAATTGAAGGGTCGCTAGGCGTTGCTGCTGCGACCGCGGCCACTTTCGGTCGATGCTGATGCGCGCCCTGGCCGGCAGTCGACGAGTGGCCCGTATTCCGGGCTGCCAAATTCGTCACGATGATCTGCACGACTTTGTTGAAGAGTTTGTCACTTGTGTTGAGGTTCTCGGCGACTTGAGTTAACGCATTCTGCAACGCTAAGCACGACCGCTTGATGAAGTAAAGCTCGATGCCGTTGAAGTTCATCGGCAACTTGGGCGTGCTTGCCAGCCGTTGGAACTCAGAAATCCAGTCTCTGCTTGGCATGCTGTTCTGCGAAAACGTCCGCAGCTTGTCCATCGCCTGGTGCTCGGGCGGTTCTACTTGGAAACGCTTCTTCCATGTCGCCGTGAGGTCCGCCCAGGTGATGTACTTGTGTAACTCGGTGACTGTACATGCATGTGCGGACAGCATGTTGTCCAGCCATGCCTGACACGCGCCTCCCGAGCGGGAGTACAAATATGCATGTCGGGTCGCGTCGATGACGTGGTGGATGTCCAGCTTGAGTTCAAACTGGCACCACCATTGGATGGGGTCGGTCTTCAATGCGTCACAGAAGATCGGGAGCCCATCGAACTTGGCAATAGTTTCGCGTGTCATTGCGCTAGGGCCGGCTGCTGCAGAAACCTGTTGTTGCAGCTGCTGTGCCCCAGTCTTAAGTGTTCCCACGTCTATCTCCAAGACATTGACGCGGTCGATGAGATCGGAGGGGCCGATGCTGGTGTTGGCGGAGGCGACCTGCTGCTCCAGCTGCTGTATGCGCTTGAGCATCTGGTCCACCGACTGCTGTAACACCTTGTTGGTGTGGTCAAGGGACTTGATGTCCTCCTGCTGCGTGATACAAGTCACAAGGAGGTCCGTGACACGGTTGAGCAGATGAGATACCCTGCTCCCGTAGTCGACGGATTCGCCGCTCTCGGCCTCCCTCTGCTAGTCCTTGGCCCGTGCATGTAATGCACCTTCCTCCCTCAATATGACTTCGCGTCGCCGCACACGTTCTTCATCAGCGGCCTTGGCAGCTGCTGCCGCGTGCTTCTGTCGTTGTTCTTCGGCCAGAAGACGCAGTCTCTCTGCCTCTGCCTCTCTCTTCTTYCGTGCTGCTGCTGCCGCTTCTGCCCGTTGCTTGCTTTCGGCTATGATGGCCGCCAACCGTGCCTCATAGGCCTCGTCAGACTCACCTGCTTTCTGATCCATCGCTGCTGTCTGCGAGCGAGTAAGTATGGTCATGTGCTGCAGGTCCCTGACGTTGCCTGCCGAAGCGAGGAGTTACCCAGTCTGCAACTGCAGGTGAATGGGCAGTTAAGAAGGACGGAGAAGAGATGAGGAGTTGGGGTGGAGCGAAGGGGAGTGGGCAA